AAATGCTGCTATCTTTGTAGGTCTCCTATGGTTTCGCTGCATATTCTTATTATTTCTTTTTACAGCCCTTTAAAAAGGTAAAAATCATTCTTAAATCCAAGGCCTTATGAAAACAGGGCTGGATTTGGTCTACAAACTATAATTTACACAATACTGAAGTAAAAAGCAAAAAAGAAAGAGAGAGAGAGATAGAGAGAAATTTTAAAATGAACAGCAAATTCTTTGAGATAATCAGAACAATAGATAAATCTGTAAGCAGAAAGAGAAGATGTAAATTAGAACATCAGCAATGGCAGAGGTTACATCACTACAGATTGTACAGATATTAAAACATAAAGACACATTATGGACAATTTTATATGAGGTAATTTGACAACTTGGATGAAATGGACAAATTCTTTGAAAGACACAGGTCAATGAAAAAAAGATAATAACCTGAATAGAATTTATTGAAGAGACTGAATTTGTAAAAACCTTTCAGTGTATTCCAGTAAACATTTAGGATAAAAATTACATATGAATATACACAAACTTTTGCATAAAATTAAAAAGAAATGACTGGCCTGCCACAGTGGTTCATGCCTGTAATCCTAGCACTTTGCAAGGCTGAGGTGGGTGGATCAGTTGAGGTCAGGAGTTCCATATGATGAAACCCCATCTCTACTAAAAATAAAAAAAAAAATAGCCAGGTGTGTTCACATGCACCTGTAATCCCAGCTACACAGGTGGCAGAGGCAGAAGAATTGCTGGAATCCAGGAAGTAGAAGTTGCAGTGAGCTAAGATCACAACCCTGCACTCCAGTCCAGGCAAAAGGAGTAAGATTCTGTCTCAAAGAAAGAAAGAAAACGAATGACTACTTCCCAGCTCACTCAAAGAAGCCACCACTGCTGTGATACTAAAACCAGATAAAATATTACAAGTTAAGAAAAGTACAGATGAACATTTCTCATAAATATAGATTAAAAATTGACAAAATTTTCACAAATGAAATTCAACATTATGATCAAGTAGAGTATATTCCAATAATGAGAGGTGATGCAAAACAGGAAGAGAAGTGAAATTCCTCACCCTGATAAAGAGCATCTGTGAAAAACCTATAGCTAATTTTATAGTTTATGGTAAAAGACTAAAGGCTTCCCCCTTAAAAGCAGGAGCACAGTGAGGATGTCTACCCTCATCATTTCTATTCAACATTGTACTGGGAAAGAAGAAGGAAAACTGTCTTCCTTCAAAGATGGGATAGTCTCTATGTGAAAATCCTATGGGAAATCCTACTAGAAGTACTGAGTTTGGCCAAGTTTGAAGAGAATAAGCTCAATATACAAAATTAATTGTATTTCTACATACTAGCAACAAACTGTTGAAAATTAAAATTTTAGCACTACCATTGACCACATCATTTAGAAAAATATAAAACAGGAAAACATCTGAAAAAATAACAGAAAAAACAGAAATGACACTGAAAACCCCCAAAAAACCACCACTGAGAGGAAATAAAAGTAGACTCAAGTAAATGAAGAAGTAGATTCCAGTAAATGAAGTACCTCTGTGTTTCGGGTTAGAAGACTCAGTGTTGTTAAAATATCAATTCTCTCCAAGTTGGTCTATAGATTCATTGCAATCCTAATCAAAATCCTAGCAGGCTTTATTTATCTTAGAAACGGACAAAGTGAATCTAAATTTTATAGAGTAACACAAATGACCTGGAATATCTAAAACAAAGAGACCACCACCAGGTTTTTAGAACTAATCAACCTACTGTAATAAAAAGAGTATGTTATTGGTACAAATATAGACAAATAGATCAATAGAACATAAGACTCCAGAAACAGACACAAACAAATTGACAACTGATCTTGATAAAGGAGCAGATGCTATTCAGTGGAGAATGAATAGTCTTTTCAAAATATCATACTGTAGCAATTAGAGATTGATATGCAAAAAATGAACTTTGATTTCTGCTTTACATCATATACAAAATTAACACACAATTGATCATCGTCTTAAATGTAAAACCTAAAACAATACAAATTCTAGAAGAAAACAAAATAATTCCTTTATGACCTTGGGTTAAGAAAATATTTTTAGTTATGATCCCCAAAGCATGACAAAAGCAGAGCTAATTTTCAAATTAATGTATCAAATTTAAGAATTTCTGTTTGTGAAACATACTGCTAATATGCAGAAGAGACAAGTCACAAACTTGGATAAAACATTTGCCAGTTATAGATCTGATAAAGCGGACTTATGTCTGTAATGTATATAGCATATTCAAAACTCAATAGTAAGAAAACAACCCACCAGCCTGGGCAACAGAGTGAGACACTGACTCTACAAAAGAAAAAAAAAAAAGAAAGAAAATCTAAGCAAGGTAGCACATACCTGTTGTCCCATCTATTCAGGAGGCTGAGATGGGAGGATCATTTGAGCCTAAGGAGGTTAAATCTGCAGTGAGCCATGATCATGCCACTGTACTCAAGCCTGGGCCACAGAGTGAGAGCATGTCTCCAAAAATTAAAAAATACAAATAAAAAAATAAAAAATAAAAAGTGGAAAATAAAGAAAACCCAATAAAAAGTGGGCAAAAGATATGAATGGACACTGCAGCAAAGAAGACATATAGATGGCAAATAAATACGTGAGAAGGTGCTTGGCATCACTATCTATTAGGAAAATGCAAATCAAGACCACAGTGAGATACTACTACACACTTGTCAGATTGGCTACCTTTTAATTAAAAGGTTGGCCAGACCAAGTATTGTCAAGAATGTCAAATAATTGGAATTCATCTATATTTCTGGTATAAATGGAAAATGGTACAACTACTTTGGAGAGGAGACTGCCATTTTCTTTTGGACCAGGCCATTTCTCAGGTAGGTTTTTACACAAGAGGCCAAAAAAAGCACATGACCACACAAAGATTTGTATACAAATGTCCAGTTTTACATGTACCTGTCAAAGCCTATAAATAACCCAAATGTCTATCAACAGAACAGATAAACAAATTGTAGTATATTCATGCAATGAAATAATACTCCGCAAAAAAAAGAAAGGCACTTGTAAAATACACTATTACATAGACGAATCTCAAAATGATTGTAATGGATGAAAGAATCCAGTCAAAATGGAAGTTTCGTGTGTGTGTGTGAGTTTATAAAAAAATATATATTTTTTGCTAAAGTTTTTTCCCTATGGTATAAAAACAAAGTAGTTTTCCAATCACCTTTGAGTAGATTAGTGTATTTAACAATAAATGTCAAAGCTAGATACCAGAAAGGGTTTCAGTCACCCACTCCAGACACCAGAATGCTACTTTTTCTAACATATCATACTGGGTCAGACACGAATGAAAGGCAGACTGCAGCAGGCGACACAGAGCTCAGTAATACTGACAGCATGATTCCAAAGGATTTGAGACATGAACTTCACAAACAGCAGCACCAGAGGTCTCCCTGAAGACCAATGGGTAGCAGTATCTGGACAATCACTGCACCCAGGTCAACCCACTAGGGGGCCCTGAGAACCAGAACTACTTTTTATAGCTGTGCTTCAGGTAGTCCATGAAGCAGAAAAAGCAGATTACAGAAAGTTGTCACAACAAACAAGGTCAGTCAAAGCAAAGGACTGCTCTTCCTCAAGCATACAACAGAAAAGGCTGTGCGTCAAACTTTCTGAACCATTTACCTTTCATAGGCTGCTAAAGACTATTGAGTTCAGCATCTCTTAATCCAAAGCGCTATTTTAGGAAAGATAATCTACATAGAAAAAAGCTTTTTCAGGTCACTGTGACTATGCATCCTGGGGCCATCTTGATTCTGAAAAACTGTAATACGGGAGGAGAGAGTTTTTCAGTGACAACCACTCAGGGGAAAGCAATGTCATCACATCACCCTGAAGGGCATGGATGAAGAGATCATAGTGAAGCAGGTTAGAACCTAACAGTCACATTATTGTAAAGTCATCTTCATCTCATATCTAAGTATTTCTTTTCCATTGCTATTTATAATCACTACTTGCTTAGTAATAGAAGCATCAAGAAAGGACAGAGAAAATATCATAATTCTAGCAATAGAAAGCTAGACCCCTCATTTTCTAGATTTGATTTCACATCTCAAAAGTTATCTTTTTCTCCTGCATTTAAATGGCACCTATAATGGCATAATTTAAACTTTAAGTAGATCAGATGACATAGATGGGAACCTGCGAATGTAGCATGCTTACTTTAAAACAAAAATGTGGTTTTTAAAAATTCCCTAGTGAGTAAATAAAATAGAACTTGCTATATAATTTTCAATGCTATATTTTATTTTTATTATCTTTAGCATATGTTGAATGAGAAGTTTTTCATACACCAGTGTTCGCAGCAAATGTTTTTAGAAATCCTCGCTAAGTGGTGGTAGCAGACCAATGCCACCATGCTGTCAACCTGGTCATGTGCCAGGTTAATTCAGTCAGTTTCCCTTATTTACCAATTTCTTGTCTTATTTCCATCTCCTTAAACAATGAAAGTCACAACTCTAAGTTACCTAGGGTAAGAATGGACGATTAGCAGAAAATACATAAGCAATCACCAAATCTAATTTTTATAGTTCTCATGAATAGGAAGCACAAAAATTACTAGAACTGCTATAAAAAATGAAATTGAGTGCTAACCATTTCAGCAGCTATTCTTTTACATATATGAAATGCTATTTTGCTGTTATGCATATTGTATACATAAAATAAATGCTAAAATGATAACTTTAAAAAATTAAGCATACGCAGGCGCCGGCTGGGCGCGAACGCGGCTGGGGCCGAGGCTGCTCCCTCGCTCCCCCCACCCCGCCCCGCCAAGCTCCAGCCTCCGCCGCCCGGGCCCCCGCCCCCGGCCCAGGCCCGGCCCGGGTCCCGAGGGGGCGTCACCGCCGCCGTCGCCGCGGCGCTCCGCGGCTCGCAAGGCGCCCTCCTTCCCTCCCGCCGGCCGGGGTGCACGGGCGGCGGCGCGGCCCGCGGGAGCGGCGCCCCGAGCCCCGGCCCCGCGCGGCCCGCGTCCCCGGCCCCAGCTGAGCCCCGGGGGCCCCCCGCTGCGGCCGACGCCATGTTCCCGGTGTACCCTTGCACGCTGCTGGCCCGCCCCCTTCCCCGTGCTGGGCTGGACTCCCGGGGGGTGGGCGGCCTCATGAACTCCTTCCCGCCAGCTCAGGGTCACGCCCAGAGCCCCCTGCAGGTCGCGGCTGAGCTCCAGTCCCGCTTCTTTGCCTTCCAGGGCTGCGCCCAGAGTCCATTCCAGGCCGTGCCCTAGGCCCCGGCGGCCGAGCCCCTCCAGGTGGATTTGCTCCCCGTGCTCACCGCTGCCCAGGAGTCCGCCGCGGCCGCCGCCGCCGCCGTCTCTGCCGCGCCCCCGGCTCCGGCCGCCGCCTCCACGGTGGACACAGCGGCCCTGAAGCAGCCTCCGGCGCCCCCTCCGCCAGCCCCACCCGTGTCGGTGCCTGCGGCCGAGGCCGCGCCCCCCCGCCTCCGGAGCCACCATCGCCGCGGCGGCGGCCACCGCCATCGTGGCCCCAACCTCGACTGTCGCCGTGGCCCCAGTCGCGTCTGCCTTGGAGAAGAAGACAGAGAGCAAGGGGCCCTACATCTGCGCTCTGTGCTCCAAGGAGTTCAAGAACGGCTACAGCCTCCGGAGGCACGAAGCCATCCACACGGGAGCCAAGGCTGGCCGGGTCCCCTCGGGTGCTATGAAGATGCCCACCATGGTGCCCCTGAGCCTCCTGAGCGTGTCCCAGCTGAGCGTGCCCCAGCTGAGCGTGTCCCAGCTGAGCGGAGCCGGCGGGGGAGGGGGAGAAGCGGGTGCCGGCGGCGGCGCGGCTGCAGTGACCGCGGGTGGCGTGGTGACCACGACCGCCTCGGGGAAGCGCATCCGGAAGAACCACGCCTGCGAGATGTGCGCCAAGGCCTTCCGCGACGGCCACCACCTGAACCGACACAGGCTGTCGCACTCGGACGAGAAGCGCTACCAGTGCCCGGTGTGCCAGCAGCGCAGGGACCGCCTGAGCTACCACGTGCGCTCACTTGAGGGCGCGGTACACAAGCCCTACGACTGCTCCCACGGTGGCCAGAGCTTCTCCCGGCCGGATCACCTCAACAGTCACAACAGAACGGCCCTTCAAATGTGAGAAATGTGAGGCAGCTTTCGCCACGAAGGATCGGCTGCGGGCGCACACGGTACGACCCGAGGAGAGGGTGCCATGTCACGTGTGTGGCAACATGCTGAGCTCGGCTTATATTTCGGACCACATGAAGGTGCACAGCCAGGGCCCGCACCATGTCTGTGAGCTCTGCAACAAAGGTACTGGTGAGGTTTGTCCAATGGCGGCCGCAGCTGTGGGCTCCCTCTCGGGGGCAGAGGGGGTGCCTGTGAGCTCTCAGTCACTTCCCTCCCAGCCCTGGTGAGCTCCAAGTTGGTTGGCGGGGAGAGGGGAGAATGGAGTAGAGTCCTTTGGTACAGGCTCCTCTCCCCCCCCTTTTCCCACCAACTCCTCACTACTTCCCCACCAACCAAGGAGCCTCCGGAAGGAAAGGAGGAAGCAATGTTTTAGGGGAATTCGCTAGGTTTTAACGATTTGTTTCTCCTGCTCCTCTCTTCTGTCAGACCTGACCCCACACAAACCTGTCCCCTCAGTTGTGCTGAAGTCCCCTGGACAGTGGGCAGGGGTGGCAGAGGACAGGAGCAACCACTGCCCATACCCCCTCTCCTCTCTGTAAGCCCGTGCCCTGTCCTCCCAGGGACTTGTGAACCTCTTCCCTCAATGGCTCTCTTACTTTCCTTCCAATCCTCTCCCCGCGCTGTCTGCTGCCCCTCCCTGGGGAGTTGGTGCTTTCTTTTCCTTTTTCTTTTTTCCAGGAGGAGGGAGGAGAGGAAAGAGGGAGATCCGAGCTTCTGTCCCAGAGAGGGAAAGCGGTGCGTTTTGAGGAGGAGCAGAAGCAGGGCCCGCAAAGGTTGTACCTTCATAAGGTGGTAGGGAGTTTGGGTCGGGCCCTGAACATCGTCCTACTTGAGAATCTGTCAGGGGAAAAAGTTCAGGGGAGCAGAAGGAGGAGCCAGGAGGGCAAGAGGCAGAGGAGAGATGGAGTTTTAGGGGCCAGGGTGAGCGAGGGGTCCAGGGCCTAGAGGTGCTTCCTGGGGGTGGGGGAATGCAGCCAGTGTCCCCCTCCCTTCTTCCACCCCAGCTCCAGCCCTGGTCTTGTCTTTTCATCCCTCTTCCCCACGACAGAAGAAACTGTGGCCCTGGCCATGTCATCGTGTTCTTGTGTCCCCTGCATGTACCCCACCCTCCATCCCCTCCTTTTGCACGGACCCCATTACAATAAATTTTAAATTAAAAAAATTATACATATATGAATAAAATTTTTTTTAAAAATATATGCTCATATTCATATATATACTTAATTTTTTGAAGAATATTAAATGTAAGAAATATAAAACAAAGAGTACAATAGGGACATGAATAACACACGATCTGCAAAAATTAACTTTTGGATTAACCAACTAAAATTAGACTTGAGTAAAATAAACACAAACACAATTTACTTTTCCTCTGTCAATTAAAAAAATAATATTGTTACTTTCACTTAAACAAAATAATATACATCAACAAAGGAAAATACTAAATGGAACTATGTCAGGTTCTGTAGGAAATTAGAAATATAAAGCCTATCATACAGTCGACAGGTTGAATTTCTCTTTAAAAATATTTATTATATTTTTGTGTTTTTATAGAATTAGAGAATACAGCTGGGCGCTGTGGCTCATGCCTGTAATCCCAGCACTTTGGGAGGCCAAGGCGGGCAGATCACGAGGTCAACAGATAGAGACCATCCTGGCCAACATGGTGAAACTCCATCTCTACTAAAATTACAGCTTACATCCTTAACAAAAATTAACTAAAAATGTACCATGAACTTCAAAATAAGATGCAAAACTATAAAACACGGAGAAGATAACAAATGAGATCATCTAGATGATCTTGGATTTGTGACTTTTTAGACTAACAAAAAGGCACAGCCCATAAAGGAAATAATTGATAAGTAGGGCTCCACTAAGATTAAAGACTTCTGCTCTGCAAAAGACACTCCAGAGAATGAAAAGCCAAGACACAATCAGAGACAAAATATTCACAAAATAGATATCTGATAAAGGACTAGTATCCCAAGATACACAAACAACACATAAATAAGGAACCCATTTTAAAATGGTCAAAAGATCTAAAGAGACATCTCACCAAAAAAGATATACAGCAGGCAAGTAAGCATATTAAAAGATGCTCATCATCATATGTCATTATAGAATTGAGAAATAAAACACAATGAGATAGTACTGCCCACCTATTTGATGACTAAAACTCAGAGCACTGACATTAGCCAATGTTAGTGAGAATGTGGTGAAAATGGAACTCTCATTCATTGCTGGTGGGAATGCAAAACAGTACAGCCAGTTTGGAAAAT